CCACCCGTCTGTTTTTGACGAACCACGCACGCGCTTGACATTCCGTACTTAAAGGATTCAGCAACTACGTATTACCTATAATTGGGACTGCGAGATTAATTAGGATTAAGGTAGTCTATATAAGTCCAGGCAGGGGGATTATAAGAAGGTCGCAAACCCAGTTCTATGGAGCTACCCAATGACGTGAAGCTCCAACAAAGCACATGTTTATCACACGGGGCACCTTTGGACCACTTTCTGTCATCTGAAGCTTCACTGAAGCATCACCACTTCCTTGGGAGCTACCTTGGGATCCCCTTATCATCCTGCGGGGGTTCGGGGGGTTGAGGAATTCTTGTGCAGAACTCCCAAAACGTCCCCAGTAGCATCTTGCCGACCTCCATGACGGGCCGTGACAGACGAGGGATGCGCCCCGAGAAGAAAGCTTTCCGCTTTGCACTTCAAATATCTCAAGTACAGATGGCCAGAATGCCGCTGGTGAAGGTGCGGGCACGGCGTTTTGAGACCTTCATATGGACAGCATCTGCCCGTGTACCAGTTTACAATTAACAAAACATGTTTTTTGACTTACTTTTGAGCACAGGTGGCTGCAGGTTCAAAATCTGGGCTGCTTGCTGGTAGAAAGGGCATGTGAATAGCCCTTTCTATGACAACAATTCCAGCATCCTGCGTTATAAGGCCGGATTTGTCTTCGAACCAACGACTTTGGATGTGAAGGCTAATTAACTTTACAGGACGGTGGTGCATTTGGGGCTTAAACTCTCAGACCCAATGCTTCAAGATGACGTTCTCTCACCTACACCACAATCCGAGCTCCTGATCGATATCTCCCTAAATCGCGGAAAAAATGTTGGGCCAAAATTGGGGCTAGAGCACGTGAATGGACGGATGCTTAGTTGCCAAAACCCTCTTCTGGAAATATCCTAAACCCTAAACTAAACCCAAGGTTTAGGGTTTAGGGTTTCGGGCAAGAAATGGGGAAGGTCTTGGCTAATCGCGGTCTTAAAAGGCTTCAGGCTGGGGGAAGCTCAACTACGTGGCTGGGCATAGGGTTTAGGGTGTAGGGTCTAGGGTTTAGGGTTTAGGAAGCTGGCTTTGCAACCTCATTTGCTTGCTACACTGTTTCCTGAGCTGCCCCTTGTGGCTCTTGCCCGAGGGGATCTGTCTTCATGCACATGGAAGAACACTGAAAAGGAATAGTAAAACCGCAGAAATTCCATAAGCTCTCAAAATGGGGCCCGACTGCTAGCACTCTGATGTATACTGAATCATACGACATTCTGACTAATGTAACACAATGCAACATGGGATGATGCGATCAGCAATGCCGCCGCCTGGTTACCTTTCAGACAACTCCAGGTTACTGTACCATTGCTTGGATTTTCGCGCGATCAAATGATATCTCCACAGTGGTTTCATGACCATCACTAGTCACCAGGTACTGCTGCCAATAATCTGAACTGAAACCAGCCCTCAGTCTCCAGCCTCCTGCGCACGCTATCAATGAGATGCAGGGTGGTTTTTGAAGTCTTTTCGATTTGAGGTACCCCAGACCATACATGTCCAAAGAATGCAGTATCATAATAATATTGGCACGCGTTTCGGCCCTCTACAGTATTCGCAGCGGATCCCGGCTATTAATGGACCGAACCCAATACTGTAAACCACTCCTTGGACAAGGCGGTAAACATCAGTGCGTGGCAGATGATTGTCATGGCTACATGGCACGTGCATCTTGACCCCGAATCCAAAAACGAAACCGGGGTGTGGTTTAGGAGGACCCCCCACCCTGTAATAGTGGTATAATAGGAATATAAGAGGACCCTAATATAATCCCTATTATCCCCTATAGTCACTATTATTGGGTGGGGGGTCCACCTAAGCTATACCCTAAACCCTAAACAGTAGCTTCCATTTTCTTTTCCATTATCCCTATATAACCCTTATATAACCCTTTTGCCTAAACCAAAGTCACAGAACCCGGAGATGGAGCATCGCTGCATGCTGTTCAAGCAAAACAGGCGTGACCCTCGATTTAGGGTTTAGGGTTTAGGGTTTAGGGTTTAGGGTTTAGGGATTTAGGGTTTAGGGTTTAGGGTTTAGGGTTTTTAGGGATTTAGGGTTTAGGGTTTAGGGTTTCCCAAAACAGGCATCCAAGCAGTGAGGCTCGTTACAGTTCCACACATACATGCCAAGATGTACTGGCCGAAAGCACCAGTCCTTCACCTACGCAAAGTTGTTCCTTTTTTCATGCGCTGCACATTGCGCTGCACGTTCCGCTGTCAACATCACTTGCCTTCTTTTCCAGAATTCTCAGTCGCTTTGCGTCGCCTCAAGTTGCGTAGGACAAGAGCTGGTTCGGCTGACAGAATTATGTTGATGTGTTGTTTTTTCAACAGTTTAAAGGCCACTCTCCTTTCACAAGGAACAGGGAGGGTTGCGGTTTAGGCTGGAAGGGAGCTTAGCGCTTCTTCGCACAACTGCTGAAGCACGCTTTGTAGCAAGGGTTCATGGTCCGCAGATTATACAATTTACCGAAGCTGCAGCCGCAGATTGTTTTCAGAACAGTTGCGAAGGAACCTCAGACAAATGCGGATCCGAAAAGGAAGTCCTAAATTGTTTGTTAGGAAACTGGTTGCGCGGTTGCGCAATCATCGAGAGCACTGATGCCTGAACTCTGTACTTCACCAATTCGACAATCAAACCTAGAGACTCATTTTGCATTCGTACAAGCTCCAGGCCAGCAAGCCTTATCGCTAAACGTATCCAAAAAAACATTAACACTGAGTGGCCCCTCTCTGCAAACTACACGACCATCCGGAAAAATGTCGGAAAATGCAAGCTGCAAACTCCGTTAGCAATGGAAAAACACATGGAAATTGCTGGCTGAGTCAAGTACCTTGACCCCAAAAGTCTGTTAAATAATTGCCTTCATAGATGCTCAGACTATCTCAGACTTGTCATGTAGTTGAGTGAAGTCAGAGCCTTCCTGCTGGCAGAGAGAGCTAACGCAAAAAGAGTATCACCCTGGAGATTCATCAGGCATGCAGCTCTACAGGTTCCTAACCAACCTACATCGTACAAGGGCTATGCACGGCACTTACAAGGCCTAACAGGTACACAAAATGACAGGGTCGCGTACAGCAGCTGAAACACCACAGCAAAAGGGAGCGCAAGATATGCTTGCGAGCCCGACCTTTGTTTGCTGTTGTTGTGCGTAACGTTCTGGATTTAAAGACGGCGAAACCCCAACCTCCAATCAATACGCTTCACCCAGACACCCAACCACCACCACCACAATCCCAAACGACCACCATGGAAATGTTGAACAGACATATGAAATACGACTATACTGGGAAGGGTGGGCTCGTCCAAGGCTTCGTTTGCCAAACATGTAAGACTGCTTGCACAATAAACCTCTCAGGTTGCCGTCACCAAAGTCAAGCAGCTTCCCAAATCAGATGAAACGATGGGTCATGCTCGCTTCGTGTCTACATTCCTAGAGTTATTCCCATACTGTCCCACATCCGGCCATCTTTGAACCGCGGCGCCTGCAACTCATGCATGGCGTTCTAACGCATGGCCAGCTTAACAACAGCTACGTGGAGTTCAACGTATGAGAGCTCAGGGTACGCTGCGGGGGGTTGGGACTGAGGAGCTGGGCTAAGGGATTCGGATTTTGTGGGTCGAAAGTTTCTCTCCTCATGGTTTACGAAGGAAGCTCTGAGATCCCAGAAAGCTGCCGGAATGGGATGTGGAATTTATCAATCGACACCGGCGCGGCTAAGGAAGCGCAAGTTTGAATGCTGTTTTCTCGACAGTTCCGGTATCTGCAAGAAGCGTGCGGGAAGGATCCTATGTCAGTCAGCAGTGCAACGAAACCCTAACGGGATGCGTCAACCATTTCATGTACTCAAAAACTTTGATGACTTGTCCTGATAGTGACATGGTCTGCCAATCAACATGCGTTGCCATCTGTGGAGGATCATCTTCGACAACAGCTAACAACAACCTTGAAACCTCGTGTGGCCAAGCAGCAACAACCAGTTTGAACAAGCCCGTATCCACATGGCGTTATGCGATTTACCATGAACGTCAAGAATCAATGCCAAAGCTCCAAACCTGTGACTGATAGGTAAGAAGCTGCGCATCCGTGGCTAAATTGTTGGTGGGCTTGTGTGTCTGCGAGCTTCGCTCAAGGAAACATGCATCCGGACTACGGCGAAGGAAACTGAATACAAACCGAAACCCACAGAAGTAGTGCAGTAGCAGTTTGAAGCCTGCAAGGCCCTGTAGGCCCACTATCCGAAAACGCCTTTACAAACCCCCCAAACATCCTCCCAAACATTCTCAGGAACCCAAATAGCCTTTTCAACTCCACCTCATCATCAATGCCCACTGAAATGGAAGGCTTTCTGGCTACTGTCGCGCAACGGGACACGTGGTCATGTGCTCATTAGTCAATGCCAGCCCACGAGGACCTTTCATGGCTGCTCTCGTTCTTGTACCGATGCTTGAAATTTTGGCGGCACGATCCTATAAAGTTTGGGCATGCCTCAACACCATCCATATTCCATATACTTGTGCGAAAAATCCAAACTGGAACTCGATGCTGGGCCATAAGTCTTTAGCACACTCGGAGGATGAGTTGAACCCAGCTTTGAGCGACAAATCCCTGCAGCTGATGGAACGAAACTAAAACTTTCAAACCCCCAACCCATAGGCAAGGCAGCAACCACCGGTGTATTGCACAAGAAGTTGGAGCGAAGGTCCCCAAGACGTCACCACAACAGCGTCTCTAGCTGAGGCACTGCGGCATTCATCTTTCACCAAAACATGTGCGGCCCCATTCCCAAAGAGCCATCCAAGCAGCGAGGCCTCTGCAACTCCACGCGTAAATGCGCTGATGTCCTACGCCTCCAAGCAAACCCCCTTCGTGCCTCTCTTTTGCGCGCTGCACTCTTCAGTGTCCCAGTCACTTGCCTTCTTCTGCAGGAGGCTCAGTCCCTTTGCACCGCCTCAAGCTGCGTGGGCAAAAAACTGGTTCGGCTTACCCTGAAATTGGTACGGCCTTTTGTTTGGTCAGAAGGGGAGCTGAAAGATGCTGTGTGACTGTGTATCAGGCTGTGAAGACGTTGTGACATCTATTCAGAGTGGATTTTTGGGCACAACAACAACTATAAAGCAGCTCACTGGGCATAAGCGCAGCTACTAGAAAAAGAAGGACCCCTGTACCCCCCCCAGGATCCCTACATATCCTTGATGTCCCAAGTCACTTCAAGGTAATGAGGCCTAACGAATTGCCAGCATCGTGTTGTGGCTTGTTTGAAAGAAGCCGTATTATGAACTGTACAAGGAGTCTAGGACCAAAATACTGGTAATTAGTTAGGCCGCTAGGCCCCTGCATTAGTTTGTCTGTGTCGTCTGTTCACACTTCCTGGGCCTGCGGTCGCCATTCCTCTGCTATTGTTCCAACATGGGCTTTCGCATGCAACACCAGCGGTGATCTTTAAGCTTATGGCTTTCAAGACTTCAAGGCCCACGAAGGCGTTGGGTCCAGATAATTAAGAGGCCCACGGGCACTAAATCCTGAAGCCTTCAAGGGCCTCCTAGGCCCCTATACCCTACGTCATGTTCAGCGTACCTGATTTTATATACAGAAGATACTAGACATGAAGTTCAGAATCCTTAGGAACGAGCATCCCTGCCAAGCAAATTCTTTTCCCTAATATGGACCGTTGTCACTCTGCCACTGAATACACCAGGCACTGAGGTACTGCGCATAGCAGCAGAGGGGAGTACTTATCTTGAATAGTAGGGGGTTCTCATATCGACGTTTAGAAGATCCAAGGAAAATTAAGGAGTGGCGTCATGATAACGCTTGTCAGGGATGAGCTGTATGGCTGCGCACCAACCCCAACCTCCCAACCTGAAGTCTCGAATTGAAGTCTACAGTTGCAGGAACGCCCCTTGTACCACAAATCCTCATGGAAGTTCGCATCTCGCATGCCAAAGCAGACACTCAACATGAAAGTTCTCTTACACCTTCATCTGTTGCTGCAAATGCCATAGATCCCTTCACACGAGCCCACAGCCACGCACTTTCACGTCGTAAGCCTGCATTCCTCTGCAACTGACAGACACTCCACCAAAAAGGGCCAGCCCTGAAGCCAAAGCAAAACACGTTAAGCCTTCCCCCAAAATCTTGACGGGCCCCCCCACACACACCGTATACAACCTTCCCCAAACAAACCGCATTCTAATCATTCGTGGCCTGAGGCTTGAAGGGTTTAGGGCAGAAGGCTTGTCCAGAAATTACCTACATTGGGCCTTCAAAGCAAGTATAGCCCAAAGCTGGATGTTCTGATAGCACTACTACAACCATATTCGGAGGCCGGCAGGGCTTTTGGTTTGGTGCCACATGGGCGGGGTTTCAATATATCGGGGCCCCAAATCATTCCCAACTATAACTCTTGCAAAAGTGACTTCCAACATAAAAGGGACCCCTGTGCGATGGAACACCTAGAACACAACCCTGGAATCCTAAACCATTAAACGCAAGCCCGGGAATGCCCCAAACCCTCAACCCTCACCCCCCACAAACCTTACACCCTCAGATCAAAACCCAATATGGGTACCTGGAATCTTTGGGTTGTCCAAGGTGCGAGGTGTTGCTGCCTTTGGGCTTCTGGTTTAGGATTTAGGGTTGAAAGGTTATGACTTAAAGATGAAGGCTTAAACACTAAGGTTTAGAATCTAGAGTTTGGGGTTTTGGGGTTCGGAGTTGTGGATTCAGGCTTTAGAGCGTTGGGTTTAGGCTCTGAGTTTCGGGTTCAGGATTCTACAAGTTTATGGTGTTGGGCTTAGAGCTGAGTTTGGGCTTTAAGAAACAAACTTTGGCATAGGAAAAAAAGTTTTGGTTGAGGACGTTTTGAAGTTTGAGGCTTCTTGTTCTCCATTCTGCTTGAGTCCGATTGACGCGCTCTTGAATTCTACATGCATGTTTGGATCAACGCTCATGGGGCCGCCGTATCTACTCGGTGGCTACTCTGCAACACCCAACCCCAGAGCAAAATGGAAATGCAACCTCCAAAAACCAGTATGCACTCTGGATGGGTTGCTCTGTGCATAAGGCAGACCCCAAATCTGTAGCAGAAATCTGGAAAGGAGTGGCGGGTCCTAACACCCAAAGCCCATGGGACCAAAACAAAGCTAAAGCTAAAACCGGAACAGAGAAGATTTAAGAGGCAGGACCTCAGATCCCCAACTTCTCCGTCCTACCGTGAATTAGCGGATCCTCAAGCACCATGAATCACCACAAATACCGTCGGGGAAACGGCCTACGAAGCTTACCATCACCCGCTTACTGAGTCTCGCAAAACCTACTTCATTGCTTGGTGAAAGCTCGAGGCTGGACCAAGTGCAAACACGGCTGTTGATCAACAGGGCGTAGGCCGAAAATCTAGGGCCACTAAAAGGATCCCCTTAAGTCTGCAACAATATTCATGTGATTGTGTCCTGTACCGGTATGTATGTATAGAGTCGCTCATGAATCCATGTTGTCTTTGGCTGCTAGTGGTTCAGCTCACATAACACTGTGTCCGAGCAGACAAAGAGTGATTACTGTCTTAGCTTTCTAGCTTGTACATCTCTACTGAGATCACCCGGGCCTGATACAGTGGGTGTTGGGGGCGGGGGCAGAGGGGGTGGTCGCAGCGGTGGCGGCGGCGTTGGTGGTGGCGGTGGCAGCGGCCGGCGACGCACGGCGGGGGGGACATTGGCAGCGCACACACGAAAAATCATGAAACAATTGAGCCTTGAAAATAAAACCCAAAACCCCAAACTCTAAAACTGACGCCCTGCATGCCAAATCCGAAACCTCAAACCCAGAACCCTCACATTGAAGCCCTTCAATGCTGGGCCCCGTGCAGGGTTCCCCGCACGTCGAGGTACTCGGTCGTGCCGTCCCTTTGCCAAAGTGAACTCTTCACCGCACACCCGGAGTACCAAAAGGCAAAACAAGTCAAAATACGTCTTGGAATTGTTTGGAGCAACCCGCCCCAGAACCAGCTGATGCACCAGAACTAAATCCTGCCACTTATGGTACAAAACGACTGGGGGCGGAGGTGGGTTGAGGGATGTCTGCCTTAACAAGCATGGTTGACAGGGGGGTTCCGAGCACTAGCTCTCCCGTCCCTGTAATATGGTAATATGGAATTCGCATATGTGGTCTGATCAAGTTACCAGAATCAAGTGGAAAAGGGACCAAGAGTCTAATGGAGACTGGAGCTATATAGGGATTATGTACAGGTTGTTGAGGACGTTGTGTTGCGGCCGCTTGTTTATGGAATCCGCCACATGACGCATGGAATCGCAAGTTTTCATGAAGCTACCCTCTGATGACAGTTGAAGCTGGGCTCACGGCCCAGCGGTCCTCCACAGGTATCCCCACTGATTGGAGCATTTCCAATCGCCGGGAGTAAATCGTGCGAGGAGCTGGAAGCCTTTGGCTTTCAGCGTGGCAGGCGGGGTTGCTGAATGCAAGAAAAGGTCACCTAGTTAGCTACAGTCGATAGCTAGGCCAGCCAAGTGTCAGCTAAGCATTTCAAAAAACATGTGACAGTGAACTTTCCACACATTTAGTTCAAGAATTCGCCGCTAGCTAGCTAGCTGGTAAGGAACAAGGTCCGAATACCACCAGAAGTGGATGAAGGCACCCCCTGGCACACCAAAAAACATGTCGTAACAAAAACAGGCATGTACAACATACAACACAGCACGTTGAGGCATGTGCTCTCAACAAACTGTCATGAACTGATTCGTACAGCATTTAGGAAGCATCGCCCCTGTCATGCTTGTACTAGAAACGCATGCTGCTGCCATCAACCTAATTACTTTGGGACTCCTGCTGTCAATCTAACTGCTCAGCTATTCATATAAGACTTTCAGAGGCATGGCTCACATCTGCTGTCATGTCCACACACTCCTCTACAAAGACTACCCAGACACTTCCCTTATTGAAGCAAACACGACTTCGCCTTGAAGAACCGACACAATAAACATGTACTTTGCAGGTCACTTATGGCGAAATTTCCTATGTCCAACTCCTCACAAACAAACGTCCCAAACCCGTGCTCTGGGCTTCTGGCACTCCTCGAGTTGGGCATCTGGGGCAAGGGGCGCAGTGGGGCAAGTGGGGCAATTGCGGCAGTCCTATGGGCAGTATGGTTTAATTAGGGGTGATGGCTTAGGATTTTTACAGTCTAGGGTGTTCGAAATCTGGGTTTTTCGGGCAGCAAGGTTTAGATCCTTGAAGGATTCAAGGTTCACTGTCTTGGGGTTGGGGGCCTTGGGCCATATGCACTAGTCAACAAATTTGCAGAGCAGCAGTCGAATATATGCTTGGATGACTCATTCTGGGCGATGTATGTTTTGCCATCGCCATTTATGTTTTACGGCGCATTGAGTCTAGGCCTATGCCTGTGCAGTCTTCACAAAGCCTCCACACTTGGTTCATGCGTTGCATCAGTAGATTGTTGGTCGTTGCGAGGGATGACAAAGCTTGTTTTAAATGAGCCATGTCCTGAACGTCCGCCTGACCCTTCAGTCCCACTCCTCAACTACAAAAGATTTATCGTTTAGAGTTTGTGGTATAGCCAACCGGTTTAGGGTTTAAAGCCATGGCGGAGCCCACTCGCTTCAAGAATCCTTACACATACCGCTCGCCGCTTGGCAACAAAGAGTCACAGCTGCTGAGCCTCTGCAGACTCTGAACCCAAAGCTGCAAATCTTGAGCCCACAGCCCTCAGCCCCCAAGTCCCCAAATCCTAAACCATCAACTTGCGCCCTACCCAACAGGAATAAGGGAATATATTATGCACGGATGATACAAAGTAGAGACCTCAGATATGGACTCTGCACTGCTCCATCCCTCCAAGCCCTATAATATTGCCTGAACCGTAAACCCTCCCAAAAGGGCGGGCGGCCGGGGTTCGCCACCATTGAGGTTGAGGATGCAGCCGCTGGCGCAGGATCTGCAGTGCGACAGCGCAAACAGAACGAAACCACATGGCAATCCCTCAGCGTAGCTCCACGATTTCAAGACATGTCCTCATAACATCCTGCTGTGGCTCCCTGAGGTGCGCAGCAGCGCAAGATGTACTGACAGCAGCAACATGCTACATCCCTCTTCTCTCCCAGCAGTAGTGCACGATCTGCAAGCTCAAGCTAGCCCTTCCTAAAGTGTGCTCGCGGCAAGCGGAGTTTTGGAAACCCAGTAAATCTTGCCGCAAAATACTGCAAACAAAATGGAGTTCGACCATATAGAGGGGAGCGCAGAGCGTACCTTGTGCACCGTGCAATCTTGCCTGAACACCCCATGTGCTACCTCTGGAGCAGACCAACCACCACCACACTATTACCTTCACTGTTGCCTTTAGATCGTTGTCACTGCTGACTACTTCTTTCCCTATTTCTATTTCTTCATACATCCAACAACAGGATGAAAAGTGACTTTTGCATGTC